GAAGTGCAAAATCATCTCACCGAAATGTCACGTACACATGACTAGGCATCTCTTTTTGCTTGCAATATGGAACATACACAATTCTAAACAGGCAACATGTGTGCAGGTGGTTTCCTTCAGGCTGCAGATCACAGAGAGTGTCCTGCAAAAGACAGCAGAGGAGCAAGGAAGGTCTGAAGCCATCGGAGACAAACTGGTGAACAAGGCGGTCGCCATCATGGACAGTATGGCTGCACTGGTGGACAGGTAACATACTGTAGTATTAAGTACTGTATAAGGAAAAACAGCCATACATGTTTTCTTAATTGCTCCAAAGTCTTTAAATATTGACAAAGTCTCTAACAGTACAACTTCAACATTTGTAGATCACATGAAGGATCATAATTTTATTAAAAGTCAATGTTAGGATTTTGACAAGTGCGGGAGAAAAAGTATTCTATATTAAACATTTTCTACATTGCATATGTGCATTGCATGTAACTTGCTATAAGTTTATTGATGCCCAACACTTGATTGTATTTAGTTTCCGAGATAAAGCCTTGTTTTCATTATTCTATATTCTTTGGTCAAATGGGATTACTTTTTCTAAAAACATAATATTTGTTTAAAAATATATATGTTTCCCTCCCATCACTGGTTGAAGTGGGGGCAGTTTAGCTGCACAATGGTGACGTCACATAATTTCACGGCCAATCAGGATGTATCTCCATTTAAATCAGAATCTGATGAATGCTGTTGGGTTGTATGTTTATCTTTCTTGACCACTGCCAATCAAAACACATTAAACCACACCCTGAGTCATGATGAAGCAGATTAGCTATGAGTTTCACCAAGGTAACCTAAAAGATAAAACAAAAGTCTAAAACTAAGCTTTTGTCCAATCACTACAGAGCTGGCCAGCTAACCAATCAGAGCAGACTGGGCTCTGGTTTCAGACAGAGGGTGAAAAGAGGTGCTGCAGCACAGGCAGTATGAGAAAAATAAAGGGCCTTTTGAACATTAAAGCATGGAGACATGTCACAGTAGACGCAAAACACACAAATAGGAACCTTAAAACCTTAAAAGGCCCTTTCAAATTAATATGAATTGAAACATATTTTCAAACCCTGAAGCAGAAATGTACAATAAAATAGTAAAACCACGCCTGCACTGTTACTAACAGGTTATATGATTAATGTGATAAGTCAGTCTGAGTACAATTGACAGAAGCACATACCGTGAAAAGGATTACCAGAAGCAGATGTTCTTTCAGTCCCGAACAGTCACTTAATGCGATGGATCCAGTTTGTCAGCATTTTGAGACTGCCTGGAAACGTTGTCAAGTGTCATATGCTCTTTAAGATTACCTTTCAACTTTCACTGTGAGACTGATTCCATTGAGTCAGTCATTTAAAGTTTCAATGTATTTCTTAGTTTTATGAGAGAAAACCTAGAAACATTAAAACGTGCTGTCCTCGCACATAAACATACTGTTAAAAAAGGCTCTTCAAAGCTGAAGTAATACACAAACAATGCCATAATATGAAGTATATAGTCTGGTGGGAATGATGATGTTCCCAGTTTACCATGATTTTGATGTACTGCTGCTGTGTTGTGTTCAGGTACAGGGAGCGCCTGCATGTGCTGCTGGAGGAGGAGAGGAGCCTGCGCAGACAGAGCTGGCAGTATGGACTCAATGCACTGGAGGAGCAGCAGCAGCAGTTAGTGGAGGTCCAGAGAAACGCTGAAGAGGTCCTCAGTGAGACAGACCCATGCGTCTTCATACACAGGTACACAAGAATATATTGCTAAAAAAAATGAAGAAAAAAAAAGAAGTAATATATGAGTCCAAAATCAAGTGAAAGAAATAGTTCCTAATAATATTGGAAAACATGTTTTCACTGATGAATTGACAGCATGTATATTTGTCTATTTACAAAGGTTCATACATGTGCCATTAAACTTGATTTCATTAACAATATAAGCTTTACAAACTACGGAAGCCCTGAGAGAAAATTGAGAAAAAAAGTCTGATCTCAACATTACTCTGTCTTGTGTACTTATGATTTAAGAATTATATTTAGAAAAAGGTTTTGGTAGCAGCTTCTGATAAAAAATGTTTTATTTATCTGTGAAAGTTAAATGCAAGGGGGCCATAAATAAAGTTTTGCAAGCTTTGTACTCAAAGCTTTCATATTTTCTTTCAGGTAAGTTTTAATTTTCTCTAAGTACTCGATGCGAGTATTGAAAAATTACTGTCATGTCTTTATTTAGAAAATAGGATAGTGATGCATTTCAGCCTTTAGTGGCCAGAATTAGTATTACAGTAACAAACACTTAAAAACTGTATCATAAAAAAATAATATTTCATAGATTATCCATACAAAATGCATCACTTCTTAAGTCATAGGCACAGGAAATAAAGAAATGTCAATTGGATTTATGAATCAACATAATTTGTTGTCTTCCTCACTTGCCTCTCAGGGCTTCCAAGTTGACATTAGATAATGTTACATTTAAAAGTGTGCCGGATAACTACGTGAGCTATTAGCTATTACTACTTTATGAGTCTAGCACAGTGCTTCTCAAACTTTTTTCAGTAATGTACCCCCTTTGAAACATTTTTTCTCAGCCGAGTACCCCCTGACCGACCCCGAACATTTTTGATAGAAAAAGCCTATATGCATAATTACAATATAGTGATGTTCCTTCATGCATTAATTACAACAAACTAAGGATTTTTTCATCTTTGTGCATGAAAAAAAATAACAGATACGATTTTTCCAAGGAGTTTTTCAATTGAAGTAATATATATGTTTAACAAACCAATGAACAAAATGATATATTATGAAAAACTATACAATACAATACACACATTTGACATGTTTATATGAGGACCCCCTTGGTGGTTCTAGAAATATTTTTTATACAAATGTGTTTTCTATTTCACTTATTGTACTAAGATTATTTTTGTAATCATGCAGGGTATTTTTTTTAATTAACCTTTTTTTTTAATCTCACGTGCCCCCTGCAGTACCCCAACGTAGCCCTAGGGGTCCGCGTAACCCCATTTGAGAACCACTGGTCCAGCAGATAAGTCGTCACATGTTTCTGCCTGCATGAGTAAAGACATGTGATGCCAGAACCAAAGCATGTGAATAAAATGTAAAAATCCCCAACTGAGAAAACTCTTCTGCTCTCCAGGTTCATGCAGATTGAGAATAAGCTGAAAGAGGTCTCCACAGGCAACTTTCCCTCCGTGGTCCCCTTGAAGGCTCCGCTGAACACCAAGCGTCTGCAGGCAGGCCTCAAAACCCAAGACTTCCGCTCCGAAATGATCCCCCTCCTGAACTCCCTCCATATCCTCCTGAACCCCCTGGACCTCACCTTCAACCTCTGCACCGCCCACCAGAACCTGATAGTGTCCAATGATCTGCGCACGGTCAAGTACAGCCCCAGCAAGCAGTCGTACGCAGAGCACCCAGAGCGTTTCACAAGCGCACCCCAGATTCTGTGCAGCCAGGGGTTCTCCAGTGGGGAGCACATATGGGTGGTGGAAGTGGGGCCCGGCAGCATGTGGTCCATGGGCGTGTGTTACAAGGGCATCCTTCGCCGTGGTGACCACAGCCGCCTAGGACACAACTCTGTTTCCTGGCGACTTCAGTGGAAAAACAACAAGCTGACGGTGTGCCAGTCCTCCTGCAACGTCGCTCTGGGGGAAATGACCATTCACCCGCTCAGGATTGAGATAGCACTGGACTATGAGGCTGGGACTTTAATATTCCATAACACCAAAGGGCACAGGGAGCACCTGCACACCTTCAGGGTTGTGTTCAAGGAGCCCGTTTACCCAGCGTTCAGTATCCATTCAAACACTCAAGAGTCCTGGATCACACTGCACAGTGGGATGTAAACACAACTTCTGTTGTTTGCTTTTTTACATGCTTAGAATTGATTTGGGTGTTAACATCAGCATTGTTTTGTATTTGTACTGCTCCCTGTCAAATGTCTGTAATAAAATACATGTTTAACAAATGCCATATTTGTAAGGAATCGATCCTAAATAGTGCATTTATGTGTCTTAAGCAGTCTTAAGTAAGAAAAAAATGACCTCAGTCAGACATTAGCTTGTTGTTGTGCAGGCCTTTTTGTTAAATCCCTACATTTGTCTTCCATTAATACAAAACAATGCTTTATAATACCGTGCTTTTATACAAAACCACAACGGCCTTACAGTACTGTAACATTCAATCATAATAAAGTTGTTTACAAAACATTTTTTGTTGATGAAAAGGGTGATTTTTGTGGAGTACATTAATGTACATGAATTTGCTTTGTGGGATTTTCTTCGTTTTGTTTTTTGTCATTTTCTTAAATTTCAATTTGTAGTGTGTCTATGAAGTCACTTCATTTCTTTTGAATTGTGTGTTATCTGTCTGTGATCTTCATTTCCTGTAAACATTGATGTGCGTGGACACCAACCTTTAAGATGAATATGAGACACATATTTGTGTTTATGCAACAAATAAACTCTTGTGATAATGTCTGTGCATCAACATCTATATGTATGTAGTCCTATGTATGTATGGTATAGTATGCAATATGATTGGCTCTTGACAGTTCGATTAAATTAAAATAGCTTTATTAGCATGGCCATATTGACATACAGTATTGTCAAAGATGTGTACAGTTGCAACATCCATGCAAATATACACATTTGAAACGTACTGCTTAATTCATAAATATAACCTGAAGTGCATTCATTCAAGAGTTTTAGTCACTGAAATAAAGTTTAGTGTAATACATCTGGGTTGCCAGGTTGGGCTGTTAAAGGGTAATTTAGAGTATTTTAACCATTTAAACTTTAGTTTAACAAACTTATTATGATGATTTGTATTAATAACATACACTTTTCCAGTCACTGGCTCGATTTTATTATTAAAAACAAATACAAAAATTATGCTCCGTGTTTCACGCGTCTTTGAAAGGGGGATGGTGTAAATTCAACCTGGCAACCTGCATTTAATCTGTCACACATTTTGTCATTGGGCAGGACAACATCAATTCATGTTAGTAACAATATTCTACGCAAGGTCACCTAACAGCAGAAGGCATGGGCTCAGGAGAGAGTACGACCCGGAAAGTGTCTTTCGGTGTCGATGATGAGGACCGAGTCAGGATTCTTCGTGGTGTCAAGGTAACGCGAATCAAGCTAACGTTTGAGAAACCATGCTAACATTACTTTAATCTGACGGCTAGCGCTAACTAGCCGTTAGCTGTCGCTGCACAGCAAATTAAGTTATTTGTTCATTCTGAGTTTGATATACGTTAGGTATACAACCATTAAAGCGACTGCTGATGTGAGGAGGAAAGAGGGGCTGGGGCAGGTTGATGTATGACCTTAAACAACCCTTTTTTCCTTACACCAAACGTATATCGTACTATGCCTCAGTTAACGTTGTATCCTGTTTATCGGCAAAATAAGACACTCTGGCATATTACCAGGACCATCTAGGAACCTTCAGGCTCTTCTTGTCGATTCGGCATATACATTACCCATCCAGAAGCAGTTCATTAGTATAAATCTTACATTTGTATAATTCTCAAGCAGCTGTCAGCGTTTGCTAACAACGCTAAATATAATACGTTTAGGTAGAAACTAAGCGAACAAATCGTTAATGCTTGCCTATATTCCGTCGAAAAATGTAATATAATTGCACAATAGAGACATTGCTAAATCAAAAAGAGATTACAATAGTGTTGTAGTAGTTTATTGTTCATAACGTAGGGCGTTTTAAATTGGGATATTTCGAATGAGGTTTGGCGTGCTGCTCTGCTACTGACACTGCTGCCTTCCAGTGGAACTGAAAATGTCGGAATTTTAACTTACTCGATTATCAACTACGATTTCCCCCCTTACATCCTCCCCTTCTCACATGTAAGATCATTTTTATGTTATTTTAGGGGTTTCCCAGATTTATTTTCGAAATGCTATATTTTTTCTTACCAAAATGATTTTAGTTTTTTCCAGTTGAACTTTTGTTTTGCTGAAAAAGACGTGCAACTTTTGGGCTTCTTTCAAAAATAAAGATATTAAGCCACAAGCATGCAAACTCAAGAAGGGCACACATACCTGTAGCGTGGCTGAAGCCATAGCAATCTCTTGCTTTCTAAAAGGTCTATTGGAATTTGTAGGTGTAGTATCGTAATTTCCTATAAGTTTGAAGGCACCGTCACATTCACTGTAGCTATACTGAAATGCAACCTAGTCGATTTCTACAGCTACTGTAATATAAAAGAAACACCTATGAAACTCAATAAAGTTAGAGCTTTATAGTTGTGTTAGTCACATAAATCATAATAATAGTTAAAATATTTGTAAAACATGGAAAGAACGAGTTTTGCAGATAATCCTATTTACCAGTTTTGCATGCACATTCAAATCCAGTGAGTCATAGGTACAGTGAGTCAGTGCTGCCTACTGTGGTTTTTAAAGAAACAAACCATTTCCTTGGACGGACACACACATTCAAATGTAAAGTACAGCCAAGCTGCAGTTTGTTTGCTAATTTGCAGGTTTATGTTTTATGCCAAAAGTGTTGCCAAAGTTACTCCACTTCCCAATGTTTGCACAAAGTTGGGCAATCCTGTTTAGTTGTTTTTCTGTCTTTATCCATCCTTGATTTTTTTTAAAAGCATGGATTCTATATCTCCCTAGCTGTCAGAAGATGTTCTCCAGAGGATGAGAGGAGTAGCCAACATCGCTCCAGAACGCCCAACCTCACCAACCTCAAACCCTCAGAAAGACACAGGTACTGTATCATGCACCTTGCAGCGTTTCATTAGAGATATAGACATTTAAAGGGACATGCTTACCAGGTGAATGTCACTGCACATGTGTACAGTTGATATCCTGAGAAAGCAATACAATACCTGTAGTCTTACCTTTCAATATTCATATACGAAATAGGTCATACTGTATAGGTTGGTTTACTAGTACACATAAGTGAACGCTATTTCACTTTACAATTGATTTGGAATCTGTTAACATTACCGGCTCCTTCAACTTTTTCCTTACAGTTGATTCCTAACCTAAATGTTTCCCGCTGTGGGATGAATATATTTGAACTTTATTTCTGGTAATGGAATAATGTTTTCTTTTTAACATTACAACTTTTTTTGCATGAAATATTTTCATTATATTACAACTTTATTCTCAAAATCTTGGAGAACACTTACGTGGCAATTTTTAAAAATCTGCATAATATGTGAACTTGAGCTGGAATCTTCCTCAAACACATGAGCTATTAAAATATGAGGTTTATTATTAAAATCTATTTATTTATTTAATAGGATAGCCATTAGCTGATTCATACATTAATTATAGGTCTCCATGTGTGGTCACTTGGCTGGAATATCATACATATTTAAAAGCATTAGAGGGTGCCTGAGAGCTTTACTGCATTATATCACATTTTTGTATATCTTCAATTGTGATCTTGTGCCTGCATTTTGCGTTTCCCTTTAAGACATTTCCACCACACAATTATGAAGAAAAGGCAGGAATGAGTAAATAAACGGACTGTTTAATGCTTACATTTGACCCCTGTTCTTTGTCCAGGTGCCTCTCGCAGCGCTAGCTCAAGCCCCCCTCCCCAGCAGAGCCCCAAGAAGCAGGCCCAGCCCGGCTCCCAGCCCGGTCCCCAGCCCGGCCCCCAGCCTGGCCCCCAGCCCGGCCCCCAGCCCAGCAGTAGCAAACCTGCCTCCTACGTTAAGGAAGAGCAGAAAAGGTAAACGGTTGACAAGCATTCATTATTTCTTTGTATTTATAGTGACTAATGCTGCATCTTTAATCGTCTATAGAAAATTAAAAGCTTGTCGGTTGGTTGCCTATCCTTGTGCCAACTTTAAAGGGCACGCATAAAAACAAAACCCTGGTATGTGTTAAGCCCCCAACAGTGCCTCTTTTCTGCTCTGAAATCATAAAAACGACTAGCTGATAAACTACTTAAAGCTTCGTGTTTTACAACTATGCTGCATTGTGACCATCAGAGATACGAGTTGGCTTGTACTTTCTCAGTGTCAATATGCTGACTGTTATGAAAGCCTGTTATCAATGGCAACTAAAATTCACCTATGAAGCCACGAGTATTGTAAAAGGAAAACATTCAATTTGTACATTCCCCTCACTAAGCTGCTTATTCAATGTTCCCTTTGTGTGAGTAGTTTTTCTTTTTGAGGAGCTCTGGGGCTCATTTCTATATAAATGGACGCCTGTACATATGGCAAATGTAAAGTCATGTCATTGTTCCCTCATTATAGCTAAGGAACTTACATTTTGGTAAAATGGCTGTCAATATCTTAAAACTGGGATAACACAGATTGGTGTTTTTTTTTATTTAACTTTATAAACAGTGAAAATCAGTTAGTGAATGTTCATTTTATTCAGACATTCCCCCTGTAAGTAGGAAGTAGGACAGGCAGTCTGTCAATAGGATCCATAATGTGTCATTGCAACACAAAGACTGAATCTCTTCGCAGATGAAGCCTGACAAGGAACAATATCTCATGAAATTCCAAACAAGTGCATAACTAATTTACACTTCTGTTGCTTTTTTTTGTTTTGATACCTTTCCGGGTCGTACACTCAAATTGTTTTTAATAGTGTATTGTCAGGCTTGGCGAGTAATGGATTACATGTAACAGGACTATGTAATCAGGATACAAAAACAGGGTAACTATTCCCTTACGGTTACATAAGAAAACACGGAATCAGATGACTGTTACATTTAAAACAATTGGGGATTACTTGCAGTATTAAAACGTTAGTAAAAGAGCATATAGTGTTTGTTGTAAAAGGATCAAATGTGATCACTTCTCTGTAAGCTGTACTGCTCTATAGGCTAATACTTTAAGTGTGAATCTATACGCCTACTGCCTGAATCTGCTTTATGGTTTTCATTTTCTTTGGTTCATTTGTTCTTTTTTAATTCAATAGATGCACCTACGTATATACTCCCGTACCAATTGTAATAGTCTGAAAACGAAGGCCTTGAATTACTTTTTCCGTCAACATGAGTCCTTTTGAAAAAAAAGCCCCTCAAAACAACTCTGAGTCCAGGAAGCGGTCCTACCCATTAATTAATTTGACATAAAGAAGAATCATCAAATTAGCTTAAACAAAAGTTGTGTATCATTGCTGTAGATCAAACTAAATATTAACCAATGAAATCCATATTTAAATGAGTGGTTTATAAATCACTCTCTGCTATTTCTTATAACTGCTAATATAACTTGTAGTACAGTTTATATTCTCCATGTATTTGACATGTCTGGTGAAAGTTGGTATATGCTGCCCCCTTGTGGAAATATGTTCCAAGTAATATAGACAGTAAGGAAAAGATTTAGAAAGCAGTAAGCAATGAAAGTATGCAATTTATGGAAGCACAGTGTGTGTGTGTTTATGTGTTTCAGGTATGAACGGCAGCAGGCTGCACTGAAGGCGGAACAGGCCAAAGTGGGGAAAAGAGAGAAAGATTCAGCAAGAGAAGAGATGAACAAAGCCTTGAGGCAGAAACGCATGGAAGTTGAGCACGCCCAAAACCTGGTACACGCACGCACGCACTCTGCCCCTTTAAAAAGTCGTGCTTTTAGTAGATTTTACAAAGATTTCACTACTTTTAGAGGACAACTTTAAGGGACTAGTTTCTACACTAACCATTCACTTTACAAACGGTGGTCCATTAGTACCTGAGGCTGTGGAAGTTAGTCTAAAGCGTGTTTACCAAAAACACACATACACACACATCAGTTGCACATTTAAAATGCAATGCATGACTTTGCTGACTACATGCAGTGCTGTTTCATGCTTTTGTTTTGGGTGTAAAACTGCGCAGTAAGATGGTCACACGTCGAAATGTAAACAAAAAATGTATTGATGCCATGCAGCCCCAAGTGACATTAATACCGAGCAAGAACACAACATGCGCACCCGTTTTCATAGAGCGTGTCAAAAGTCCCTGTCAAAGTTATTATTAATAACAGCCTTGTTGGAAATCAAAAGAGATTCTCTTGAAAGCAATGGCATTTGGGGGAGAGCTAAATCATTCATCATCAAATTATTTATTAATAAAAGAAAATCATGTATTTTGTATCTGTATTCCCTCAGAATACAAAAAGTTAAGTTAATCAGTGAAAACATGCAACTTGGAGGCTTACAATACAGGAAGTGCTTATAATAACCCCCCCAAAAAAACATTTCTGATAAAAAAAATAACCAGGAATGTGGAAAAAACTATAATTTTCTCGCTGTAACTTCCACAACTGACCTGCGAAGCTGTTGTAATCTTTGTTTCTTTAAAAAAAGAAAAATCATTGCAGCACCTTCAAGTTGAACACTTTGTTTTACATGCGGTTTAGTGATAAAGCTGGTTTTCTATGGTTTTATCACACGTTGGAGATAAATTAAGACTTAATTTTACATTTGTATTTTCCGTAGTGATGCTCCTTCTGCCTTCCCCTCCTTTCACCTCCTTCTATCTCCCCCTCTCTTAACCATTTTCCCTTTCCCTCTTTCCCTTGCTGTCCTTCTGTATTCTCCCCCCACCCTCAATCTCCCTCTTTCCACCCCTGCCTATTACTCTCTCCTTCCTGCCCTGGAGATGGTATTATCAGTGCAGTGCAAGCGTTAAATTGCACCCTGAGAGTTTCCTGCAGCTGGAGATAGGAGCGGGCAGGAGGTTAGAGTTATAGACGTGGGGAGGGGAGAGCTTGTTCAACACACCTGATGGCGCCTGTTTCCTGTGACTCTCCCTCCCTCCCCCTCCTCTCCTACCTGCCTTTCCCACCTCCTCTTTGAGACACGCTGTAGTACCTGCCTTATCTGCCCCCCAACACACTCCCTCCGCTAATAGAAAGCCGCTGGAGGGACGGCGTGAACACAATGACCAGTCGAGCAGCACCGCCCCCCCATGCTGAGAGCTGTGTGTAATTACTGTTGCTAGTGCAATGAATACATCACATACATACTCGTGATTTGCTCATATTACATTTTTTCCCCTGATGTGGAATCCGAGGGCATAGTCGTCCACTTGCTATTTGTCCTATTAAAACCCCACATTTTGAACTTTTTCAATTGTTCACAATGTGATTTAGATTGAAAGGCTTAACTGTAATATGCACAATATCTACACCACAATTGTTGGCAATGTACATCTTAAGTCCCAGGCTCTTTTACCAGTGCAGCATACAATACACATATACACAATACATACTTTTTAAAAGCGACATTAAAAAGTGCAAATGACACACTGGTTCAAAGTGAACATATATATGTAAAACAGAATAGTATCAGACACAAAGTGCAGTTATATACTGTACAGTGAAATAAAACACTGCTTATTGTAATAATATGTCAATATATGGAATGTAAACAGATGTATGTGTTGTAAGAAAAAAGAATGTTGAATGTTAAATGGTTTGGATTTATCAGGTCTTTAAAACCACTCATCATTCAACCTCATTCATACAGAGCGTTTTGCTCAAGTTAACTAACATCACACACATTGGGAGCAACTTGGGTTTAAGTATCTTACCCAAGGATACAGCGACATGTTGACTGCAAGGGACTTTGGGTTGAAACTGTCCCAGAGTCTGGTACTCTTGGTCTGGATTTAACCAGGGTTATAATCAGTGTATGAAACCATTTTTTTCGAACCTTGGCAATACAGATATTCTTTTGTTATTGAAGGCCCTGTCCAAAAAAACGTAATGCCTGATTTTATGATTTTAACATTTTGTTAAGTTACGCATATAAATAGAAATTTCACAGAGGTTATTTTTCTATTATAATTATAATAATAAGAATGATATTTGACTTACATACTGCTAAGACAGGATACTGTTGAGTCTTTTTTTTAAACAAATTTTCCGCCTAAAATGATTCATAGGTATTTCTAAGACAATTCAATCTGTGTTTCAATATGACTTCATTTAGTTTGAAGTAATAGATCCATAAAACAAATAAGGAAGGTGGTGTTGCATTTTGTGCACCTGATTTATTGTTAATATATTGGAACGTCAGTTTAAATGTAAAATCAGACAGTGTATGAAATCACATCTCAGGGAAAAGTAACGGCAGATTTTGCAATAAAATCTCAGCCAATCAGTAAACACTATTTTACAGAATCCTGTTACCTCTGCACTTCCGCTGACCTGAACCCCCCTCTCCAATCTGTGGTGTCAAGTCCAGTCTTTGCTCAGTCAAATGAATGCAGAGGATTACATGATTACATTGCATTTAGCTGACGCATTTATCCAAAGCGACTTACAATAAGTACATTCGACCAGGAAGATACAACCTTGAAGAAAACAGAATCATATAAGTACATCAGGTTTATCGAAAGAGATGAGTTTTCAGTCTGCGCCGGAAGATGTGTAAGCTTTCTGCTGTCCTGATGTCAATGGGGAGCTCATTCCACCAT